TCCGATATAGCTATGTTGATTCGAGATTGGGTGCGAGAGGTCATCAGGCCACAATCCTCCTTATCCCGAGCAGACTTCCCTGCAGGCTTCGTGGAAGCCAGCGTAGACAAGCTCATGAAAGATGTCTCTGGAGAAAATGCGACCCAAACCACGGACATCTATCGAGAGATCAAGTCGCTGCTAAGGCACCATTTTTGAGGGGAACCGTCCTTAGTCTTTATTCTTTACATCATGTCACGCATTACCTAGTAGTTCCTATCTACACAATTTGCTACATAAATTAAACTGCCAAAATAAACCATCATAGGTACAATGAAATTGAGGTGGAATCACTTATTCTTCTTCCCAAGCCTTAATACTTTCGACACACGCTTACCAGCCTTCGTCATCACCGACGTAGCTGGCCCTTCGTTTGATGGAGGTGGTGGTTGGCCTATCTGTTTCTCTAGAACTGCAGTTAGGTCCGTCGGTACCAAGTATGCAGGATCCACATATTCTTTCGGATCAAATTTGAGACGATTGGAGTGAACGCTGTTGAGTGAGCCGGTGGACCCACGAGCATTTGGGCCTTGTAGATAAGGTGACTTCTCTTCCACAGTGACCAAAGGTTGAGAGCCCGCGAACTCGGGTCTCATGGCAGTGGTTCGTCCGATCTGGCGCTGCTCGCCACTCCAAGACCTTGTAGCCCCATGACCAGGAGTCTGATAAGGCGTACCCTCTCCTGGAGGGTCATCAAGATTGATCGAGTTGACGATTTTACTCCTTCGTGAAGGAGGCTGTGGTTTGGGTGCAATAGGAGGTCGGCCTGACTCGCTCCCGGCGATCGAACCCGCCATAGACTATCGAGTTATATCAATATTGTGGTAGACTAAATTCTGAAGAGACTTACCAATCTTGCAGAGGGATGCGGACTGGCAAAATTCCTCTCACCGGGGACTACAACGCTCGCAGCGCGCCTATGGTAGTTCGCACCAGCGCCAATCCCAGCGAATCCTGCTTTGGAGCTTCCGGTCGGTGATTGTGGTCCCAGAAGTGGGGGCATTGTAATCTTGGACGGAACGGGTCGATTGCTCCATGGATAAGGGGGGTTGCCACCAGCAGATGATTTGGCTGGTCCAGTTGGTGGATAGTTGAGAGTCGAAGTGGGAGATTTCATAGAAGGTGGTGGAGGTGGATATCGAGATGAAGTATCCCATCCATCTCTGATATCTTCTGTCTCTCGTCGATTGATACTACCATCACTGAACTGGCGCTGGGACCCTGGACGTCGGGAATAATGATCGGCAGATGGGGCTGGTAAATGATGTTCCGTTGTGGTGCGCATATTTGGGCTTGGACTAGGATTATAGGCACTATGACGTGCTCTTTCCTCTTCGATCATGCTAAGGTTTGCTGCACTAGCATTTGGGTAAGTAACAAATCCAATGTCACGGGAATCTCCTCCACGAGTTAGACCCAAAGCACCCCCATTCATATCGAGGATCGATCTTTGGCTGATCGGAGAATTTTGTGACATGGCGGTGTATCTCCGCCCAGGATCACGGCCACGGAAGCTGGATCCATTGTCTGAAGCCGTTGAAGGAGCGACGAATATATCTTCAGGTCGAAGTAGATTACTTTGACTATTTGAATAATTCTCGTTATACCCACCAGCACTTCGAGGTCGAGATCGAGAGCGAGATCGTGCACGCGCTTCCTCAATAGGACTCGGACTTTGACTATGACCAGGGCTTCGACTGCGACCGCGGAACTGGTCTCTGGCCTTTGTGAGTGAAGGCATGTTATGAATTACAGTACTTGCGGCATGTTTAATGCTCCCGCCAAGCCGACCTAGAGGACTTGGATCACGACTTCGCTGCGCACTGCGTGGTTGAGCGCCAGGAGTTGGACTAGGGTTTCGGC